ATAATAATAATAATAATAATAATAATAATAATAATAATAATAATAATAATAATAATAATAATAATAATAATAATAGTGGGTGGAAATTTGAAAGTGAATTGCCTGAATGGGCTAATGATGATTTAGAAGATTCATGCACATAATTTTATTTATAATTATATATTATTGTTATTAATATTTATTATTATTTTTATGATTATAATTTATTTATTCGGTTTTAATATTTTTATTAACATAAAAACTGTATTGATTAATCATCCATATCAATGAGGTAACTTTAAAAAAAAGAAAAATTAGAAAAAAAAATTTTTATTTATTTATTATTAAAATAAATAAATAAATAAAAACTCAAAGTAAAATAAAGTAAGTAAAATAAGAGATAATTGGTAATTACCAGATACAATAATGGGAGATAATAATCCTGGTCCAATATTAGCACTTCTAAAGTATAATAATTCTGAAGTAAAATGTGTAAATCCAATTACATATGTCCAAATGCCTAATTGGTAAATACTTTATATAATATATGGAATATAATTATGTAATAATATAAAATTAGATAATATTATTAAGATAGGATTAATTAAATGATACAATTAAAGAATAAATAATTAACCTTTCAATATGAATATTATATGCTACATAAAACCGAATAATGGCTGAACAAAATGACCAAACTGCAAAAGTGCGTGAACTTAATCCCGTCACTATTTGAATTGAATGTATATAAAAAAAATTTTTTAAATAAATTTCAATGGTCAATGGTCAATGGATAATGAAGAATGGATAATGGAGAATGGATAATGGAGAATAGATAATGGATAATGGAGAATGGATAATGGAGAATGGAAAATGAAGAATGGATAATGGAGAATGGTTAATGGTTAAAAAAATAATAATTTTGGTTTACCTTGTTCGGGTTTTGCATTATAAATTTGTTTAGTAAGAGAAAGTGTTAGTAAATTTTGAAATGTATTGAAAATTGCTATAAGGGAAATTAACAAAGTCCATAATGGTAAATATCCTGAAGAATTAGGTAAAAAATTTAACATCTTTAGAAAAAAAAAAAAAGAATAATAATTTATTTGAAAAATAAGAAGGAAAACTCAAAAAAAAGAAAATTTGCGTTATCACTAAAACGTTACATTTTATTTTGTCAATCGAGATTAGCTTCATAGCTTCAGCCTCAAATCGCGTACAAGTGTACAACAAACACTTTATTTATCGTAATCATAAAATCCATAAAATCCATCACAATGACTTTTTTTATCTAACTGTTCTTTTCTTTCCATTAAACTCTACAAACAAAAATTACAAACAAAAATGACTAGAGGAATACTTTCAGTTCACGTAGGCAAGTGGCAATTAATTAAGTAATAAAAAGATAAGATAAAAAAGATAGTAATAATAGTAATATTATATAGCAATATTAGTTAGTAGTAATAAAAACATTCCATTTTTCGAATGCTGTTATTTATTTTTTATTTTTTAATTTTTTTTTTTTTTTTTTTTTTTTTTTTTTGGTTTAATTAGTTGAAGGCAAAAATCTCAGAGACTTGGATGACGTTGGTAAGTTATTATTTACATTATTTATATTATTTACATTTTTAACTTTATTGACTTTATTGAACTTTATTGACTTTATTACACTTCGCGTGTATATTATTATTATTATTATAATTTAAGGTCAAGGTGATCCCTATTGTGAAGTTTGGGTGGATTCACCAAAATACAAATCTCATACGGATGCGAGAAATGGAACTACTACTCCTGTTTGGGATCAAGTTTTCCATTAGTAAGTTTATATATATATATATTTTTTATGCTTAATATTATGTCATATTGTCAAATATTATGTAATATTGTCATATTATGTAGATATTATTTCTTAATTATGATTAATATTTGACTTGTAGTAATGTAAATGGTCAACCTGAACTTCACATTAGAATTATGGATGATGATGTTTTTACCGATGAAGTGGTATCTTATTCTTTCTTTCTTTCCTTCTTTCGTTATTATTTACCATTTCTCAAAAAATGATGATTTTAAAATTATTAATATTATTATTAGGTTGGATGTGCTACTATACCCCTTGATTATGTTTACAAACATAATTATAAAGATTTTTGGGTTGATTTGCCTGACCATAGAGGCAGAAATAATGGAAAAATTCATTTGGTTTTGGAATTTAATCCTAAAAATTAAATAACCAAATATTTGTATTATATGTATATGTTAACAAATGGGTATACTGACATTTATTTATTTATCGATCAATTAAAGAAAGATTCATTTTTATATAAAATTGAATATGTAAGAATTCTTTTAAAAGTTCCGAAAAATTTATATTTGTAAAGATTTGTATAAACTGTCATGACATAAATAATACTATTATTTATAACTAAATTCCATTTCCTGAACTGTATTATCATTTATTAATTTTATTATAAAAAATAAAATAAAAAAATTGAATGTTTTGAGTGTCAATCAAGAAGTTCATTGCCATCTCAGCCGCGGTTAAATCCTTTGAGAAGGAAGAAAGCATTGACCCATCAGAGAGGGTTTGCATTTTTTTAACCGTGGACCAAAACACACCAAACCAAACCCAAACAGTACATTGTTCAAAGGTCAACAAAAGGAGATGGGATCAAATTTTGAGATTGCTGGCTGATCATCTATTACATTCTTAACATTCTAAAAATTATTGTAATCAAAATAAAAAATTTGGAGATATAAAGTTGAAATAGTTGAAATTGTGGATGTTGTAAATAATAATAATGAATAATCTTAGATCTATTCCCTATATATTAAGAAAGAGTACCTTCTCTTCTTTCAAACCAAATAAATTTTCTGTCTCTTCTAGAATATTTGTCGTTAGAGGTTTTTCAGATAAAAAATCCGATGACATTACTTCCGAAGTTACTACTACTACTACTAATACTAATGTTAAAGAATCTAATAATGAACTTGATAACTCTGTTCAAATTTCCAAACAAGCACCCAATCGGGATATTACTTGGTCAAGGAGTCAAAGAAAAAGGGAGGAAGCTATGGTTGGACCTCGATTTGAACAAACAGATTTAGAAGCACAAGTATGTTTACAATCAATCGTTATTGTTTATTATAATTTATGTTAGTTTAGAGTTAACTTTGAAATATAATTTGTATATAGCCGAGACCTTTGGCTGCAATTGAATTAATTGCCGAAGAACCAATTCATTATGTAGACGGTCGAATTGCTGTATGTCATGGAGGTATATATAATGAATTTTAAAGAATTATAATTATACTCGCTCGTAATCCTAACTCAATCTTAACTCATTCATACTCAATTATATTCAATTATATTCAATTATACTCAATTATACTCAATTATACTCAATTATACTCAATTATACTCAATTATACTCAACTATACTCAATTATACTCTCTTAGGTGGAGGACCACTTGGCCATCCCCAAATCTATATAAATTTGGTAAGTTAATATTATTTCATTTTCTGTTGATTTTTTGATTTCGTTATATACAATTTAAAACTTATTTAACATTTATTTAAAATTTTATTTAATATTTATTTACGAAAGGATCAACCGGGACCTAATGTCTGTGGTTATTGTAAGATATTTTATTTATTTATTTTATTTAAATTATTATTATTATTATTATATTTATTGTTATAAATACTAAATTTTCTTTCCTTAATAAATAAAATGAAAAATAGGTGGAATAAGATTTGAAAAGAATCCACATCACCATCATTAATTTCATCACTGTCATTATCATTAAAAATAATTTGTGTTGATTATGATAGAATATTATTTATTTATAAATTATAAACTTAACATATTAATTTATAGAATTCTTCTAATATAACATGAACTTGAATAACTAAAGTAAAGTTAATTGTATTATTTAAGAAAAAGGCAAAAAGCCATGTGATATTAATTGTTATATAAAATTATCAAAAGAAAAACGCGTTACTATTGGTCGAAATGTCGAGATAAAAAGAAACGCGTTACTATTGGTCGATCGCATAGCGCGTAAAAAAGTATAAATATCTGTTTTAATTTTTTTCACCTTACAATTCTATACTTTTTAAAAATACATTTTACAAGTTTTACGTAAAAATATTTTATTTCATATTTCAATACTTAAAACATGGCAACCTATATAAGAAGGAAAGGACAACTAGCTTCAAAAATTGAAAATACACCTGTTGGTGAAAAAAGAAGGGGTAGACCTAGAAAAGAAATAAAGCAAAAAGTTATGTCACCTACTGCTGTTGTTAGTGCTACTAATATTGAACCAATTATTGAAGAAAAAAGACGAGGTAGACCTAGGAAAGAAATTAAACCAGAAGAAGCAACTCCCTCTACTTCTTCTAGTTTTGAACAAATCAATAATATCAACGACTACGAAGGAGTTCCCGTACCTATTGTAGAAAAAAGACGGGGTAGACCTAGAAAACTTAAACCAGAAGAAATACCTTCACCTACAGTTGTATCAAGCAGCTCCTCCACCACAAATGAAGATGTTTTTATGCCTGTGGTAGAAGAAAGCCAGGTTAAACCAAGGGATATATTTGATCCAGATGACGATCCTCCATCTATTGAACTAATCATTACTAACAAAGATTCCAACAAAGAAGTTTCAAAAACAAGACGAGGTAGACCAGCGAAAATATCTAAACCTGAAGAAGCTCCTCCAACTACAGCTGCCATTAATACTACTACTGCCACTTATATTACTACCACTTCAATTAATACTGCCACTACTAATGCCACTACTACTGCCACTACTATTACCAAATCTAATGCCAATGTTACTGCCAATACTACTGCCACCATTGAACAAACAGCCACTATACCAACTACAACCAGGATCATGAGCAATGGAAACCTTAGAAAACGTGGTCGTCCACGTAAAATTATAAGCATCGAAGAAGATCAAGTAGATCAAGTAAATCAAGTTGAATATGTCGTCCAACAACTAGAAGAATCCGTAATTGATGTAACCAAAAAACGCGGTCGACCCAGAAAAGGTTCTCAAGAAGATCAAGAAGAACCCACCATCAATGATGATACAAAGATCACTAACGTCATTGAAACACGTGGAAGACCTAAGAAACGACAAAGATTTGATGAATAAATAATCTCAATTATGTTTTTTTTTAAGTTTTATAAGTTTTTTTTTTTTAATAAGCTTTATAAGTAATCAAAAATGCATCATTTAATTTTAATTAATTAATTAATTAATAATAATAATAATAATAATAATAATAATAATAATAATAACAATAATAAGTTTACATATATACACTTTTTGACATTAGTAATTTCATATTAAATAAATAAATAAAAATCATTTACATATGCTATATTTATAAATTTATAAATTTATTTATCATGTGATGTTTACTTATTTATATAGGGTGTATAGGATAAGATCCTATACCTTGGGTACATTTTTAAAAATTTTTAGCGCCTTAGCCATAGTAAAACGTTTTTTTTTCGAGATGTCTAATTCTGATAATGATAATAATAATAACAATAATAACGAAAATGTCACAAAACCAAAATCAAAAAAATACCGAAAAGATAAACGTAAGAAGAAAAATCTTTTTTTTTTTTGAATTATCATATACAAAAATTTATAAGATTTAAATATTTTATGTCACATATTTCATATACATAAATATATATACAGCTTGGGATAATGAGGAAATAGATCATTGGAAAATTGAACCTTTTAGCAAAGAAAATAATCCCGTTCCTTTCACTGAAGAATCATCATTTGCAACTTTATTTCCCAAGTATAGAGAAAATTATTTAAGAGAAGTATGGCCACATGTTACTAAAGCTTTGGACAGAGTGGTGAGAAAAAATATTATCAAAATCTTTTGAATTATATATATATATATATTAAAACTTTATCTCTTATATATGTTTTGTTTTGTTGTTATTGTTAGGGTATAGCATGTGTGTTGGACTTAATAGAGGGTAGCATGACAGTTAAAACTACCAGAAAAACATATGATCCTTACATAATATTTAAAGCGAGAGATTTGATTAAATTATTAGCTAGAGGTGTACCATTTCCTCAAGCAGTCAAAATTCTTGATGATGGTGTGGCGTGTGATATAATTAAAATTGGTGGTATCATAAGAAACAAAGAACGTTTTATAAAACGTAGGCAAAGGTTAATTGGTCCAAATGGTTCAACGTTAAAGGTATATATTAATATATTTTTCATCGATATGTTTAAATATTAATATTTTGAAAATTTATATATGTACACATATATACATATATATATCTCAGGCGGTGGAATTGTTAACTCAATGTTATGTTATGGTCCAAGGAAATACTGTTTCTGCCATGGGATCTTATAAAGGTTTGAAAGAAGTACGAAGAATTGTGATCGATTGTTTGAAAAATATTCATCCGATTTATCACATTAAAGTAAGCAATTAGTTATGAAATATATTATTTTTTTCGTCATTTCTAAATATAAATTCTGATGTAAAATTTAATGTAAATTCTAACATTAATATAAAATTTTAATAATATAAAATTAGGAATTAATGATAAAAAGAGAACTTGCCAAGGATCCAAAATTAAAGAATGAATCTTGGGATCGTTTCTTGCCTCACTTTAAGAAACAAAACATCAAAAGGAAAAAACCACAAATTAAGAAGAAAGAATATACACCTTTCCCACCCCCACCAATTCCAAGCAAGGTAATTAAACTCATTAATCTTCATTATTATTAATCTCAAATTTGTGTATATTGATATCTCAATAAAAATTAATAATATTAATTGATAATAATATTTACTAATAATTAATAATTAACAATAATTATTTAATTAGATTGATTTACAATTGGAATCAGGAGAATATTTCCTTAAACCTCACGAAAAAGTTGCTCACGCTATGGAAAAGAAAAAGGTAAATAAATTTTTTCTTTTTACATACCCGTCATTACTTTTCAATAATATTTTAATAATAACATTTTTTTTTTAGGAAAAACGAAATGAGAACACATTAAAGCGAAAAGCCGAAAGGGAAAAGGCATTTATACCACCTGTAGAAGATAACACCTCAAAAAAAAAGAAAAGAAAGAAGTCAAGTTAATCTCTTTTGGATATGTTACATAAAATTTATTGTTAAATTATCATTACGTTAGATATGATCTTGAAATTATTTTGTTGTTTTCAATTTATTATCTTTATATTATTCAAGTTATATTATTTGATTTGATGATTAATAAAAGAAAAACATTGTATTTGCACTTTACATTCGGTATTATTTTTAATCACTTTTATTTTAGCTATTAGGTGCAGTCTATATTACAAATACATACATCATATGGGTAATTAGTTTAGAAATTTCCGACAAAATAGCTTTGATCTAATCTCTTGCAAAAACATTTTATATAAGCAAGCGAAAAAATAATGTCATTTTTGCGTTTCAGATTAATAATCGTTAAAAGGTTGATCATCTTTAATGTTTAATTATTGATCTAATATATAATAGGTACCGTTTTAATTTGAAACCCTTTTAATTTCGGAAGATACTAATAAGTAACCTTATTTAAGAATTGCAAAAAATTGAATATAAAAGAATGAATTTTTTATTCTTATCCTGCCTATAAACATTTCTTGATTAAATATGTTATTGAAAAGTACAACTTCTTTAAGCTTATTTTTACTCATAACCTTGCTTATTTTCTCGCACATCGCTCTCGTACGCTGTGCCGATAATGGTGCTAAAGCCACTGCCACATTCGTTGGTCTCTCGGGAACAATGACAATCACCCAAACCGAAGAAACAACTATTGAAATGATTGGAAAATTTGATAAAGGCTTCACCGATACAAAAGCCGAAAATTATAATCTTCAATTTACTACGACGTATGGGCGTTTTATTAATATGACCTTCGTAGATCTCAATGGAAATATCACACCGCCCGGCGCCAATTTTAATTTCGAAGGCTCTGCAAATCTTGAAGATATAGCTGGCCCAGTGCTTTCAATTTGTTTCCAAGATCAAATCCTCGATCAGGCAATTGCTGTTGTTGTTTAGGCGACGTATCAAAATCCAATTTTATTCTTTCATCCATTATATATACGTTGATATTCACTTTATATGATTACAGTCAAAGCTCATTATAATAAAATTTTTTTATTCTTAATGAAAAGTATGAAAAAAATTATTTCATCTATATAATAAACTACATACATTTATTGTAGAACGTGTTTCATGCATCGCTCGTTCTACTATTTTCCAAATATATTCTTCGAGATTAGAAAGTTATTCGGAATACCATAGATTTTTTTTATTATATATTTATCATGTATTTTTATTTTATATTTTATAATAAAGAATTTCGGCCAGAAGGTCATAGAATGTATCAAGAATTTTTTTCGTGTGGAGCGAGTTATATAAATTTTTCTTGGCAAAGTGATCAACATGAAATTTTTTTTTTCACGCACTCATACTTTTTAAATATATTTGCATTTTGTATAAAACAATGGAAAACGGGCTATCTACGATCAATTCATTGAGAGAATTGAATGCTAATCTTGTTGTTACAATTACTTAAAAGGAGAATGCTGAGATGTTAAAGTAAGCTTTTTATAAAACCAGAGCGGAGTGATAAAGAAAAGACTAACATTATTGCTAAACTAGAACAGAGCGATAAAAAAAAACCAACCTTATTGCTATGTTAGATGATAACATCAAGGAAATCAAACAAATCCACTCTGAAAAAGAAACTTTGACCCATTGCGAAACACCTGAACAGATATCTAACTTTGATGTACTGTATATCAGATTTCAGATAAAACAGTTTCTTCATTACCTATTAAAGATCACTCTAATGAAAGGAGTTCATATAATAAACAATCTTCAGCCGATACTACTAATTCCATATCCTTAAAGCAAATACAAAATACTATTTTTTAAATAGTGCAATGGTTTTCTGGGTATGAAAGAGTAAAGAGAACTTGTCAAGGATCCAAAATTAAAGAATGAATCTTAGGATCGTTTCTTGCCTCGCTCCAAGAAACAAAACATCAAAAAGGAAAAACCACAAATTAAGAAAAAAGAATATACACCTTTCCCACTCCACCAATTCCAAGCAACTCATTTCTTCATTATTATAAATCTCAAAATTTGTGTATATTAATAACTTTCAATAATTATTTAATTAGATTGATTTCAGGTGAATATTTGCTCATGCTATGGAAAAGAAAAAGGTAAATAAATTTTTTCTCTCTAACTTTTCTTTTCACATACCATCAATACCTTTCGATAATATTATTAATGATATTTTATTTGAAAGGAGAACACATTGAAGCGAAAAGCTGAAAGGGAAAAGGCATTTATACCACTTGTAGAAGATAACACCTTTCAGCGGAATGAATAACTTAATCTTTTGGATATATTACATATTACGTTATATGATCTCGAAATTATTTGTTATTTTCAATTTATTATATTATTTGATTTAATGATTAATAAAAGAAAGACATTGTAAAGAAATTTCCGATAAAATAGCCCTCTTTCAAAAACATTTGTATAAGCAAACAAACAATTTTGCGTTTCAGATTCGTTTTCCTTGGTTTCTATGTCCTTTAAAAAAAAAATACAACTTTCAGCTTGTAGCCTTATCCCAGAACTTCATTATATCATATACGATAAATTGACGCTTTTTTACTGATAAAAAAAAAAATTCATAATGTCGAAAAACGAATCAACAAAACCAAATAAATTTTATTACCATTGGTCAATTTCGGCTGAAATTATAAAAATTTATCCATATTTTTTTTTTTGGTTTTACTATGATGATCGCCCCAAAATTTGCTTAATTCTAAAATATTACACTTACAGTATATTAATTAATTTCGGAAGATACCATCTGGGATGTAGGAATCGCAAAAAATTGAAATAAAGAATGAGTTTTTTATTCTTATCCTGCATATAAACATTCTTGATTAAATATGAAAAGTACAACTTCTTTAAACTCATAACCTTACTTGCTTTCTCGCACATCACTCTCGCACGCTGTGCCAATAATGGTGATAAAGCCACTGCCACATTCGTTGGTCTCTCGGGATCACCCAAATCTAAGAAACAACTATTGAAATGATTGGAAAATTTGACCAAAGCTTCACCGATACACAAGCCAAAAATTATAATCTTCAATTTACGGACGTTTTATTAAATATGACCTTCGTAGATCTCAATGGAAAGATCACACCGCCCGGCGCCAAATTTTAATTTCGAAGGCCCTGCGAATCTTGAAGATATAGCTGGCCCAGTGCTTTCAATTTGTTTCCAATATCAAACTCTCGATCAGGCAATTGCAAATTGATATCCACTTTATATGATTACAGTCAAAGCTCGTTATAATAACATCTTTTTTCTTAATAAAAATTATGAAAAATTATTTTATCTGTATAATAAACTACACGTAAAACGTGTGAAAAATTTTCTCTTGTATCGCTCGCTTTACTATTTTCCAAATATATTCTTTGAGATTAAAAACGTTAGTAGAGTGAAAACGGGGTCCTAGAACAAAATTTTACTATCCATGCCATCTTTTTTGATATCCAGGTCGTTTTTTAATTTCTTCCACATTTGGAGGTTTTATCATGATAAATTTTTTGTTATCCTCGGTCATAAATTAATTTTCTTCCACATTCGAGGTTTTTATCCACAGTAAAAAAAAAATTTTTTCATCTTCGATTAAACATAAAAGAGTTGCATTTTCTTTCACATTCAAGAATAGTAGCAAAATTTTAAATAGTAGAATTTTTTTGCTTTGCAATTACTTCGTGACTAAAACAGGATCACATTTTTTCTTAAGATGTTTTTGAAAATGTCTAGAAAAATAAAAACCTCTAACATGATTAGGGATCGACCAGATTCAGGTTTACAAGAAATACTTTTATAGAGTTATAATGAAAACAGTATCCTTCAGGACGCATACAATTGCGTCTACAAATTTTACCAGAATTCAAAAGAAAAGGGCAAGTATAATTACTATTGATCGACCTCATCCAAAAATTATTTGAACACACTCTGATGTATACCAGGAAATCTCAATGTTTTGCATTACCTATCTACACAGAGCCTAAATCATTAGATGATGAAGAAATGGATAACTTTCTGGATCAAGTACATAAAGAAAATGTTAGTAACGAAATAAGAGAAAGAAAAAAAGCAAATTTATCATGTGATATAAAACTGTACTTCAAATTTATCATGTGATACAAATGCCTCATTGATTCCGCAATAGATAATACTAGCTCTACTAAAATTAATATATCTTGCGATATATTAAAAAATAAAGGTTCACAACAAGAAATTTTAAATTGATGTTATTTATTCTCTTGAGTTTGAAAACAGGGTTCATACTGATGATATTTGCTTCTTTCACGTATTTTTATCCACTATATTGTATAATCTGCACGTTGATATTCACTTTATACAGTCAAAGTTCATTATAATAACATCTTTTATTCTTAATAAAAATTACGAAAAAAATTATTAGATATAATATCTATATAAACTCGTTATAATAACTGCTACATACATTTATTGTAGAACGTGTGAAAAAATTTTTTCATGCATCGCTCGTTTTCTAGATTTTTATATTATATATTTATCATTTTATATTTTATAATAAAGGATTTCGGCCGGAAGGCCATAGAATGTATCAATAATTTTTTTTGTGTGGAGCGAGTGTATATATAAATTTTTCTTGTCAAAATTATCAGCATGAATTTTTTCACGCACTCAAACTTTTGAATATATCTAAAACAATGGTAAACATGCTATCTACAATAATTAATTGAGAAAATTGAACGCTAAGTTTATCGTTACAATTAACTGAACTTAAAAAGGAGAATGCTGTGATCAAAGGCTGAGAATATTGAAGTTAAAGGGAAGAACATGAAATCAGTTTTCAACTAGAGCAGAATGATAACATTATTGCTAAACTGACAAAGATAAAGAAAAAACAAACCTTATTGCTATGTTAGATGATAACATCAAGGAAATCAAACAAGTCCATTCTAAAAAGAAACTTTGACCCATCGCGAAATACCCGAACAGATATCTAACTTTGATGTATATCAGAATTCAGCGGAATCAGCTATAGATAGGCATTTCAGACAAACGCAGTGTATTACCTATTAAAGATCACTCTAATGAAAGGAGTTCATATAATAGATAACCTTCAGCCGATACTACTGATTCCGTATCCTTAAAGCAAATACAAAATACTATTTCTTCTGAAATAAATTCTGACAATATCTCCAAACATGCCAGCCTACCTGTAAATTATCAGAAGATAAAGAGGTCCAAAATTAAAGAATGAATCTTAGGATCGTTTCTTGCCTTACTTCAAGAAGTAAAACATCGAAAGGAAAAACAACAAATTAAGAAAAAAGAATATTTGTATTTTTTTTTTTTCCTATTAACCATTAATCACTTTTATTTTAGCTATTAGATAATTCGGTCATCTTTAATTTCTGATTACATTAAGGGATATATTAATTTCAGAAAATTTGTATATATGAACTGCATTGAATATAAAAGAATGAATTTTATATTCTTTCTTGATTAAATATGTTGTTGAAAAGTACAAATTTTTTATGCTTATTTCTACTCATAACCTTGCTTTAAATCATTATATATATCTACATTGCAGGATTAAATCTTTAATATAATTATTAAAATTAGCATAAAATAGTGATACTAATCGTAACCACAACCTCCTCCTCCGCATCCTCCTCCACAACTAAATCCACCTCCTCCACTTCCCCCACCGCCTTCACCGTATCTGTATTTTTGTTTTGATGAAGCCCTAGAGACTACGGATTTTTGAAGAGGGATTATTTTTTCTTTTGGTACTTGGTTCAGAATTTTGTCATTCGGATATTTTGATGAAACCATAGAAACTACGGGGTTTTGAAGAGGGATTATTTTTTCTTTTGGTTTTTGGTTCGTAATTTTGTCATTCGGATATTTTGATGAAGCCCTAGAGACTACAGATTTTTGAAGAGGAATTATTTTTTCTTTTGGTTCTTGATTCGTAATTTTGTCATTCGGATATTTTGGTGAAACCGTAGAAACTACGGGGTTTTGAAGAGGGGTTATTTTTTCTTTTGGTTCTTGGTTCGTAATTTTGTCATTCGAATATTTTGATGAAGTCTTAGAGGCTACGGATTTTTGAAGAGGGGTTATTTTTTCTTTTGGTTCTTGGTTCGTAATTTTGTCATTCGGATATTTTGATGAAGCCTTAGATACTACAGATTTTTGAAGAGGGATTATTTTTTCTTTTGGTTCTTGATTCGTAATTTTGTCATTCGGATATTTTGGTGAAGCCTTAGAGACTACGGATTTTTGAAGAGGGATTGTTTTTTCTTTTGGTTCTTGGTTCGTAATTTTGTCATTCGGATATTTTGACGAAGCCCTAGAGACTACGGATTTTTGAAGAGTGGTTGTTTTTTCTTTTGGTTCTTGGTTCGTAATTTTGTCATTCGGATATTTTGATGAAGCCCTAGAGACTACGGATTTTTGAAGAGTGGTTGTTTTTTCTTTTGGTTCTTGGTTCGTAATTTTGTCATTCGGATATTTTGATGAAGCCTTAGAGACTGCGGATTTTTGAAGAGTGGTTATTTTTTCTTTTGGTTCTTGGCTCGTAATTTTGTCATTCGGATATTTTGATGAACTACAAATAAATGATGATTAAAAACGTGATAACTTTATAAAAACTTAAAAACGTTGTTATAACTCACATGTCCATTTTTTCTTTGCCTTTTTCGCTTTTCACACTTTCTACAATTTCCACAGTTTTCACACTTTCCACACTTTCCACATCAACATTATAAATTTTTATATCCTTCTCATGCTGATTAGTAAATGACTTTTTATACTTTTTTAATTGATTACGAACCAAAAGGCCATAAGGTGGCATGATAACAGATATGATCTTTTTTTTCGCAGTTAACCAAATCTTTGATGGATCATCATGTGTATATGGTTCGCGATACTTTTTGTACCAAGCTCGAGCGGTGGCTGCAAATCCATCGGACAATGCACCTTCAGTCAATGTATCATCATGATTAATAATTCGACCAATATGCTTTTTGGTAAATTCACGGTAAAGTGATGCATGAATCTGATGTGTGTGCCAACATAGATCAATATCAAGTGTGGGTACTAAAATAGTTTTTTGTTTCTCTTTCATTAAAAATAAGAATTTAAGGTATCGTATAGTGGCATTAGCCTGAACCTCAGTGCGATTGATCATTTTATTGTTAACCATCTTTTCGGTGAATTCGCGTTGCCTAAATACAGCACCAATGAGGTCAATTGAGAACGGAAATGGAATACCATTATAGGCAAACACAGTTCTTTGGACAATTATTTTTATTTTTTTTTTCATTTCGACTGTTATTTTTTTTAATTGATTTACGTGGTTATCAAGTTCATTGATTATATGTTCCCAAGTTAGAGATTTTGAAACAGTAAGATACTTAATGTCGGAATCATCTGTAGAGAATAACAAGCTGGAATTATTTAACGCGAATAGTTCCGAACATGAACCATCCTTTAGGTCAACTAGAGTGCCACTTGATGAAATAAAAAAGTAAAATATTAGTCAATAATTTATCAAAATGATCCAATGATAATAAAATTAATTTTACCCAATAAATTTAGTTTTATCCTTATTCCATTCAACGATATCATCAATAAATCGCTTGCAGCTTAAAGTTTCAACAGAAAGTGATGCTTTGCATGTCAGACATTTTTCATCTGTCTCAATATTTTGCATCAATTTTACATAATTTTTCCTAATATCCCAACAATAGATCAAGTAAGTATGGAGTTAACAAATGAAAACCAAAAAATAATGTTAACTCACCATGGAATTTGTATAATATCCTTACACCAAGGGCATTTCATCTTAAAATTGGAATTGTCATTCGGATCAAGAACCCATGGTTGTTTGGTATTTTTCACCCAAATACTTTCAGATTCAGGGTCAGTATGGCCATTGTTTTTTACCCAAATATCATGCTGATAAATATAAATGAAAGGAATTTAGCATTTCATTTAAAATAAGCAAAAGATTAGAAGAAGAGAGAGATGCTTGCCAGTCGTTTCAAGGGAAAATCCGGAAACCTTAGAATGGGATCATAAATTCGCAACATATCTTCATAGTATCGAATTGGTGAAAGCAAATGTGAATGCCAAATGTAGCAAACATCTATTTTAAAAAAGTTATTTAATTAACAAAGTCGTTGTTTTTTTTTTTTTTGGTATTTAAATCGTTTATTCACCTATAGGAGGAATAAGCTCCATTCCTAGGTTAAAATCTTGACTACCCAACAAATTTAACCACAACAGGTAGCGTTCCTGTGCACGCAACAAATATCTCACATCAATTTGTTCATCTGCTTGTTCCAATGCTTTAAATTTAGTTAAAAGCATTAAATGCGCTTGCAACATTTCCGGTTTCACATCAATATCATCTTTTTCTTTAGCTTTTGTGCTACTAAGCGTGCCCTTTTGATACTTTTTGTCTTGCGAGGAAAGTGAATTTTCGGGCATTATTATTTTTTTTTTTTACGAGTGATTAAAAGGCAGATATTTTTTCGACCATTAAATATATTTCCGAGAGTATTTTTTTCCTCTTATTCAGCCAAAAATAGAAAATAAAAAAGGAAATTAAATAAATGAATTATTTAAGATAAGACTTATTTATAATACTTTCGCACATTATCTTACGTGTGAATTTTTTTTTTTTTTTTAAAAAAAACAATAATACAAATCAGGAAAAATTTAAACAAATTAGTCCTTATAATGATCGCTACGTTTATGGTAAGTGAAGTTTTTTCGTTGTGAATAATTAACACGCAAGTATATTATTACAAAATTATTATTGAAGACATAACGTATATAAATTTATATCATGTATTCCTTTTGGTCATATATTCAATAACGTAATAATAAAGTTATAAATGAATGTTTTCGAAAAAAAAATTAAAAACATTGTTTAGAAAGTTTACAGTCAAAATTTCGTGTACTTTATTTTATAATAAAGATAAAGTTTAAAACTGAAACTTTTAACAATATATCACGCGTGTATTCAATAATAAACTAATCCTATTATTATCACTATTAATTAAATATTTTTAAAAATACTTTTTGATGATAAAAATAAAGATTAAATATTTATAAATGTTATATTATTATTATTCTATCAACGGAATACAGCTCAAATTGTGTGTATAAAGATAAGATCAAATTAAAAAACGTACTAAAATAAATAAAAAATAAATTAGAATCTTGAATTTTAAATAAACAAATATATATATATCAAAGGAGAAAGTGATAAATACATACAGGTATCTTACAATATTCCCACGACATCTAGCATCATCACGATAAATACGATTAGTTAAAAGTAAGATAATAAATGACCGAATCTACTGGTAAGAAACGATATAAGAAATAATTAACATACCAAGAACATAAAATTAAATTTAATATATTTAAATATTAAGTCGTAAATATTATAATTACCCCCCCCCCCCAAAATCCATTAGTCAGTAGAATACTTGAAAGTAAGCCATGTCGCAGGGTTTTCCCCAAGTCTTAGATTTATGGTTCGATTGCATAAAATCTTTTTAATTATAATAAATTTTTGCGTTATTAAGCACTGTCTTGACCTATATTAATTTTAGGTAATGAATAAGAAATTTACGGATATGTGGATATTCATGTATTCTTGCGAATATTTGCAGATATCTGTTATCATAAAACGTAGTGATTGAAAATTCCAGAAGGCCGGAAAATCATTTAATTTTGGCAAAGTGGAGTAAACAAGAAAATTAAAATTTTATGAGTCATGAGACCCCTGGGACTTAAACTCAAAAGATTTATATACATGTAAAGGAAAAACCTTCAAACTGTTTACAAGATGGATGATGCGTTTTACCAACGAGTTTGGAAAAAATTTTACATGGAAATAATTACTAATTGATTATTACAAATTTTGAAATTAAAAGATAAGTAAAAAATATTCAATATTAATTATAGTATTTAATGCAATTAAAGGCCATGTTTTTTTTCAAAATACGATTCCAAATGAAACTAAAGAAAAAGAAATTGAATTAAGTTATTCATGGTTAAACATTTTTTGAATAATTTTATTTACAAAACAATAAAAAAATCTACAAGATCCTGAAGATTATTTACGGGGTGTACGTGGTAGAATTAAAAAAAAAAATTTGCAATTCACAAATACAATTTATGAATATAACAAAGCATTTTTAACATTAATTTTATCTTGGCTCATAACAGAAATAGAAGAAAAACAAGATTAAAGTATGTAAATCGACAAAGAGAAATTCTCTGGTTACCAACAGTTTTAGCATGGGACAATTAATATTTTCATTACATCATTTTTTGAACACTTGTCATAAAAAAAAAATAAAGAAAGGAGTAATATAATTCCATCTGAGCGTTTAAACTTAGATATATTTCAAAAATATTAGATTTCAAAGTAGAACTTACAATCGGGAATTTAATGTTGAATAAAAGAGGATCTTAACCCGATTCTGATGATGCGAAGCAATGTCGATTAACAAAATGCAAAGAACAATGGCGTCCATTGTCACACATCAAAAAAAGATTTTTACTTGTGTTACGGAATATTTTTCGCATTAAATTAGAATGATTATCACGCGTATTGAATCTCTTTAGAATCAATAATGCAAAACTATAATTTTAAGTATGAAAATGCATTGCAGCAACTTGGAAGTGATTGGAACATATTTTAGTGGAGTTATCATAATAATAAAAAAATAATAAAGAGTAAAATCGACATATACTGTAATACAAAAAATGTCTATATACGAAACAATATAAAAACACCAATATGACTAAGGTACTTGAATTGGAAGGATACTTTGGTATTCAATAAATAATCTCGAAGTTTATGTTTAAAAAAACGGTTAAAACAGCTCTAATAAAAGTTGTTCAAAAAAAAAAAAAGAATTGAGCAATTTAAAGAAATAATTTATTTTATTGGGTAACAAAATTTCGTAAGTGTGTTATCAAAACAATAATTTTTCCGATACGGGCTGTTTTTATATGATATGAGTAAAATAGTGTTTCCTATCAAACCAAATTTAATCAATCGGAATTTATGTTTCCGCTAATTTTGATGTGTGAGTTGTACGCCTTATATTCCAGTGAAAATAAATTATGTCTTCACTCGCAAATGAAGCACAAAAAATCTGATTTTATAAGTCCATACTTTGACATTATTTAACCTTTTTAAACTTCATTATTGTCAATGAGCCAATAATGGTAATTTTATTGTAAGGCAAAAAAGTTTGTTTATTTATTGTAAATAACTCCCAGAATATAAACATTTATTTCGTTATAGGTTCAATTAATTTCAGTAATTGCTTCAATATATATTGTCCACTGATCTTTCCATTTCATCATCTAAGGATAAAGACAATTCGAGCAAAAATGACATAAGTCATAATTGAACTTCAAATAATTTTACTAAGGTTTTTCCTCCATTCTCCACCTCCAATATCTCCAGTGTCGACAATGGCAATCCTTCTGGTGATGGTGATGATGATGATGATGGTTATTTAAAGTTCTGAAGTTTTGTGGAAAATATAAGATACAAATTTATTAAAAGAAATTTTTAACCATTTACTGGGTAAAAACATCCATATGCTCAATGAAGAATGATCTTTATATTTATATATGTATCGTACGTATTTCACAAATATTGCGTTTTGTCATGTATAATCTGAAAATAGGAAATGCCAATTCTAATATTGTTACTATTTAACTGTTTTATGGTTATGAAGAAGATTTTTTTATTTTGTTTAAGTGAACCCCTAACGAAGCTTTATTAGTTTATTGATTATATACAATTTCTTTATTATATGTTAAAAACGATTTCAAAATTACTAATATAAGCAAATACAAAAAGGTGAGCAATGCAATGTGTTTGGCTCTCCACCGTGTATATTTGATATACAGTATAAAGCAATAATGCATTGTATTAAATGATGTAAAGAATTCGATAAATTTTTGTATTCGATATACAAATGAAATTCAATCAAAGCATCATTAGTGGAGGAATCATGAAGACATCTTACTACCCGAAAGTGCAATCCTTTGATAGAAATGTAAACTTTTAAAGTTTTAACTCGAAGATAACTAGAATAACTATATATGGGTCTTCGTAATCCGCATAATTCTTTCTTGAGTTGATTCCGCTCTTGCAAGTCAAACCTGCAGGAAATGGGATAAGGTTATTTGTAGAGATGATGTAAACAAAAAATGATATTTAATTTCTGATGAGATGTAGATGTTTGGTAAAATTATTGGGATCTCCTCTATGAAAGAATTCAATATATTTTTTCATATTTCCCTTGTACTTCTATTGATAATCCATATTGAGGATAATAAATGTCAAGCTCTAAACCAAAAGGGTGCTCATCTGGTTGACGAATATTTGAGATATTTAGAAACAATTTCACGACATAATAATGGGTATCAGCTATCTATTCATGATAAAACCATTCTATTCTTTTTCATTTAACCAGTGTAAACTGAATTAAGTTTTGATATAAGATCCATTTTTAATGATTGATTTTAAATTGATGTAATTTATTATACATTTTAAATAGTAGATATATTTTGTTATTTAATATATTTAAATATAAGTTTTTGACCAAATTGATAAAAAAGTTAAATTTTTTTTAACCATTTTTTATAATCACTTAATGATATTTCTGCCTCCTTGTGTTAAGTATAAATTCTATTATATCCCGACCATACATAATAAAAATCAATTTTGGGATTCTTTTCTCTTTCTTCTTCACTCAATGGAAAAACTCCTGCTGGTATAAATATTGTAAGTAATATACCTATTCCACAAAATACCCACATTGCTAAAAAATTTGCTTCCCGAATTTGACAAGCTAATAGATATCGATGATTTGGATATGAGTAATCAGATGGACAATTAAAAGGAACATCATCAATATCATCTTTTGTAAATAATGTGTAAAGAGCTAAAATTTAATTAATAGTGTGAAATGAAGTTAGTGGTGTGAAATTAATAACTGCTGAAGTTAGTAGAAAGCAAACAATACAAAGTTGTTCTTGTTGCTTACTAGAAATTAATAGCCAAGTTAAGATCCAATATCTATTAATTAATTAAGAAAAATTTATTATAAATGTGAAAAATAATAACTTTTTTTTTTTAAAAAAAAAACAAAAATAAAAAAAATTCAAATTACAATAATTTAAATTCAATTCCTTTCATTGTCAAGTCAACTTTGTACCAACATCGACAAATTACTGCAAGAAGTATCCAACCTTTTTAAATATACAAACATTTTCATACATAAATTATCATTAAATACATAATGACAAGAAGAAGGATATCGAAAAAAAATTTATTTCTTACATGGCGTAATAAGAGAAAAGATAAAGTAACTAATATTAATTATTATTCGATAAAAAAAGATAGATTAAAAATTTTGCACTTATAAAATTTCAGATATTTCGATAATAATTACCTATATTCAGCATGTAAATTTAATGTATAAGGACTTCCTACTTCTGTGAATATATTTATTTTCGCGGCATCTAATTTTTTAAAAAGAAATATAATCAAATATACCATCAAAAATATGGCTTATTGAAAAAATTAATGCTTACCCAAAATTGGACAAAGAAAAGCTAAGACTAACGCAGTAAATAATAATATTACAACCAGATATCTCAAATATGGTCGAATTCTTTCTATCGTCATTATATTTTATTTATTTTATTATTATTATTTGTTATTTGTTATTTGTTATTTATTGATATTATTATTATTTATTGAAAGAAAAAAAAAAATGTTCTAATCTTTTTTGTACAAATTATAATAATAATATTTTTATTTTTTAAATAAATAAAAAGAACTGGAAAATAGATAAATATTTATTTTGACTACGTAGTAAAAGCGAAGTCGATTTTCTGAAATTCACGAGATTCAATATATATATACATAAATTATATATATATCTTTCTTCGTAACATTTCTAAATTTTAATATCTAAGCCGCTGGAAGGATCAAGTTCATTAAGGTTCAAGGCTTAGCAAGATATAAAGATATACGCATATTAATTTGTCAGTTTTGATAACTGAGAAGGAAATTAGTGTCAGATAACGAAGATAAATATTTATAGTAAATTTATTCCATTGTACACATATGAGCCTTATCATAAAAAAAGATATTCACGTGATTCATATAGTAAAAAAAAAAAGTGGCTTAGTTATAAGGCACATTATATAAAAACCATGGAATATCATTTCAATATATAAGCCCACGTTGATTTATTATTATGAAATAATTATCCAAATTAAGATATATATAAAAGTTTCTATAGAGGTAATAATTTAATTTAATTATTTTGTTCTTTACCTAATAATCTTTCTTCATCTCTATTATCATCTAAACTCACATTAGCTAAAAATTGACCACCAACCTCATCACCATTTTTTACACCTGCACTTTTTAGAATTTCACCACCATTTTTTTCATCTTCCTCATATTCACTAAAACTAATTTTCCTACCACTCCCATAACTACCATAATCATGCATGTCATTATTTAAAGCGAAAAAAATTAATAATATTATAATAAGTATATAAAAAAGCCATAAACATATTAAATTGATTTGATGAATTCCGCAGGCTACTTTTATTTCGACTGAAGGATATGAATAATCTGGTGGACAGGTAAAAGGAATTTCTCCCATTTCGTTGATTGTAAAGTATGTATAGAGAACTGTTTAAATGTAATAAATAAAAAAATAGTTTTTAGATTTGATCATAATTAATAAAGTAAAAATTAACTAATACATACTTGGAAAAGTTAATAATAATAATGACAAAAGTCTAATTAAGCATAAAAGTTGGTAAAATTGAGTAATAATAAATAGTAAAGTATAACTAAAAAAAAGCTTATTTTAAAAACTTACCTATATGGTAAACGTAATCTCAAACTGGTGTAACAACTAGCAATACACAATATTAAACACGTGACTAAGAAAAGAGAAAAAGAAAATTAATTTTAATTTTTTTTTTTTTATTCTTATTATTATTTATCATTATTATACATACGGATTAGAACAGCAATCATTGAAATATATCTAAAAATTTGATAACAATTATAAAATAAAAGTTAAAAAATAATAATAATAACAAATAATTAATAAAAAAAATAAGATGATTCCTACAAATATTCAACCCATTCATTATATTTTAGTACTCCATTGGTTTCATTAAATAAATTGATCTTCGCAATTACTATTATTATTATTATTATCAATTAATTAATATTATTTTTTATTTAAGTTTTTATTTAGAAATGAAAAGGATCGAGTACAATATATAAATTTCTTTTAACTCACCTAAAGCAGGACAAACGACCATTAAAACGAAAAATGGAACCAATAATGCGAGTAAACAAAAAATTCTGAATGGTTTATATGCCATTTTATTATGTCGATATCACGATATTATGATATTATGATATTAGGTGTAAATAAGAAAGAAGAAAGAAAAAAGGAAGAAATAAATGAATGAATGAATGAATGAATAAAAAAGAATGTAAAATTATTAAATTCATTAATTGTTCGATATTATAAAACTTTATAATATACAAAAGGTTTAGAGATTTTCATTCGGTGAGTAGTGTTTTTTTTTCAAATAAAAAATAATAATAATAATAAATAATAATAATAAAAAATAAAATAAAAATAAATAAAATTTTAATAAAATTACGAAAAGAAAAGAAAAATAAAAGCAATGAAGATATAAACGGTTAATAAAGAAAATCTTTAATTTATGGTATAAAAACAATTTTTACCACGAAAAAAAAAAAAAAATACATAATGACAAATATCTCTTAAACAATCTCCAAAACAATTTCCAAACAATATCGCGTGAGAAGTAAAAATGAGGCGAATGAGGAGGCGAAGAGATATAATAATTGTATATCAATAAATATTACGAACATAGCCTCATTAGCTTTTCAAGTAAAAAAAAGCCTATTCATCTTATTATTTATTTATTTTTTAAATTAAATGAAGTGATATCTATTATTTTATTTACTTATGACGCGAAAATCGAGGTAATAAAATAATTTACGGAATATCTTTCTCGCTAATATCACACTCCACTAATATCACCACCACCACCACTAATATCACCACCTCCACTTCCATTATTATCACGTTCCCCACCATCAGTTGGACTATTTCCTGCACTAAATAATACTGAACCACTTACACTTGGTCTTTTACTTGTATCAATTTCTATTTTCGCACTATATCGATGAGGCATTTTTTTCGAATAATAATTATCTCCATTAAAGAAATCCGCTAATCCTTCCCCACTAGCCAATAATTTTAATGACCAACCTATTGGAATTATAAGGACAAGCGAAAAATAGTATAACCACATACAAATCAAATTGGAAAGTCTAATTTGACAAGCTGTTAAAGTGATGGAATTTTTATACGAATAATCAGATGGACAATTTTGGGGAATACCATTCATTTCATTAATTGTGAAATATGTGTAAAATACTATTATTTAATTATTAATAAAAAAAAAAATAATAATATTATTAATTAATTAATTATTAAATATTATTATTGTCATTATTTATTATTATTATTATTATTATTATTATTATTATTTAAGTTGAATATATTACTTACGTGGAAAAATTAACCAAATTATAGCTGCAACACTATTTATATATAAAATAAAAACAGTAAGTATGATAAAAAAAATAACGAATATAACAAATAAACAAATTAACAAAAATTAACAAAATTTAATACCTTATTACCCAATATATATTTATTCTCAAGCAACAACAACAACATATTATTATATATATTACTACAGGAAAATTTCACTAAATTTTACTATTGAAAGAAGAGAAAAAAAAATGAATTTAAAAAAAAAGAGAGAAAAAAATGAAATCACACCTACAACTGTCCACGTTAATGCAAGATATCTAATAATAAATCAATAAGTCAATTATATAAAGATATATAAAATAAAAATGTGTATAATACATATGTCTATATAAAATAAACAAAAATAAACATATAATATTATTAATGGACATAAAAAAAAACAACTTACGAATATTCAACCCACGAATTATATGTAAGTTCACCATTTGTTTGACTAAATAATTCAATTTTCGCTATTTCTAAAAAAAAAAAAAAAAAGTTGAAAAAGAAAAGTGAAACAAATGAAACAAATGAAACAAATGAAACGACAATAAAAGTGAAACAAAATACCGAGAGCGGGACAAAGAAATGTTAGAATTATATTTGGTACGATTAATAAGTAAAGACATATCCCTCGTTTGATACCGTGCATTTAATGATTAAATCGATTATTTAATTTACGCGAGTGGGAAATTTATAATATTATTATTTTAATCTTATAATGATACTGTGTGAAATAATTATTAACGTGAATATGAATTTATTTATATCAATTTTGTTTTTTATTATTATGATTAATATGATTATTATTATTATTATTATTATTACAAAGAACGAAAGATTTATAATTTCGATGTCTCAATGTTTGCATATTATTTCTTATATTCCTCTTTTTTTTTTAAAAAAAAAAAAAAAAAAAAAAAGGCTCGTTTATTTGATAAAAAATAAATAAATACATAATTTTATTGTCAGATAAAAAAATAAACAGATAAAATAATAATTTTATTATTTATTAAAAAAAAAAAATAAATAAATTACTTTTATTATTATGAATTGTTAGAAATTTAAAAATGAATTTTTCAATTCAAATTTAAAAATGAATGCGCATTGAATTATTTTGCCACAATACTCACTAACTCTAAAAAATGTTATTGCAGCAAGCATATAAACCTTTAAAGAAAATAGGCTTATTTTTCGTTATTTTTCCTTCCGTAAGCCACACAATTTTCACCACCACCACACCATCATCATCATCATTTTGTATATATAATGTCATAAACACTTTTTTTTTACATAAACATTTAACAAACAAACATTAAATATTTGACGAATACACAGCAATCAAAATAACAACAATAGTAAACAACAACGAAGACATTTTAATTGTTATAAGTCACGTGAATGGAATTCTAGAATTTCTTTTTATAGAATTATTCAATTTCCTTTTATTTTGTTTTCTTTATTTTTTTATTTTTTTTACTTTTAACTTTCGGGGTTCTTTGTTATTAAAGAAAGAAAGCACTACATATTTTAAATGACCAATAAAGATGATTTCGAACTTTCTAAACACCTTCAGAACCATATTTTTCATTATATTATATATTTTACGCATGGTTTTACATTCATTGTAGAATATCTTTTATATATATATATCATACCATATATAGTATATATGAACGTACCTTATGGATCTTTGGATCTCAACAATTCAATTTTTATATTTAGTTAATAAGATGCATGACATATTTATTGCCAAAAATGGATCGTAATTAAGAAAACAAAACAATACAGGAAGTGGAGTATCACGTGTTGTATAAGATGTATATATAAGATGTATATATAAGATTTATAAAGATGTGTATATAAGCAGTATATAAAATATGTACAAGGTGCATATATGCTGTATACTGTAACTGATAACGCACGTTTAGTTTCTCCTCTGCTAGGAAAGTTTTAAATGTTTAAATGTAGATAATTTATTGGATGATTGGATGTATTAATTTAATTTAACGACTACGCACCACCCAAAATATCAGTATCGTTTATGTATGATATTTTACATTGTAAAAAATATTTAAAATATTTCATAAATAATTAATAAATATATTGTAAATAACACAAAAATGCAAGTACAACAAAGTTCTTAGCACAGTAATAGCATGTTTACATGTTGTTTATATTATTATTTACCTATTTCATTTAATTATAAAATAATTTTTTCTATTGATGATTGAGTTTCGTGAATCCGTGAAAAAAAAACTAATAAAAAAAAACATTCATCATTTTTTTTTTTCTTACAGCTTAAATTATTATTATTTTTTTCCTTTGATATAATAATTTGAATGCTGTTATTTTATAGACTTTATAAACCAATATATATATTAAAAAAAAATTAAAAAAACCATTTTTTTTTTAAAAAAAAAGATCAAGTAATAAATTTTTTTTTTCAATCATATTTTATGAAAAAATATTATTAAATCATTTTGGATACACGTATGATTTTATTGTCGGCTTGAAACTTTATCAAGGGAAAGAATTTAAAGAATTTAAAAATTTAAAGAATTCAAAGCTAGAGTCGATAAGAAGAATAGTATTAATAATATTAATAATAATGGCTTCAAGAAACTCACAAATAGCGGTTCACGCAATATTTAGAACATTAATATTTTTACTTACCTTGGGTTGTTTTATATTAGGTGTGTATACTGTACGTTATTATCGATATGATTTTATAATTTATCCCAAATTTTTTTTTCTCACTTTTTTTCTCACTTTCCTTTTCACTTCCTTCTCACTTTCCTTCTCACTTTCCTTCTCACTTTTTTTTTTCTCACTTTTTTCTCATAAAAAATAATAAAATAATGGGAAATCAATCATTTATTACCAACGACGCATCAAAAACATAAAAAATAAAAGAACTCCTGGCATTTTTAGAAATTTCAAACAAGTTGAAATACATCAGTTTGGCAGATTACTTTAAGCCAAAATTGTAGGATTTTTTTTTTTTAATTTAATGATTGATTTTATATCCTTTCTCTTTTCAATAAAAACAAATTATTAATTATTATTATTTATTAATTAATTAATTTAGTTATTCGATTCAAGGAATAAAACCATTCTATGTGGTTGTGATAATTTTGGGAATTTTTGGTTCATGTAAATACATTATTTATTATTATTTATTTTTTTTTAAATAATAATAACAATTTAAAAATAATTTAATAATAATTTAATAATAATATTATTGTTAATATATTAGCATACCTCCTTATAAAACTTTGCCGTAAACGATGGGGAACCAAACTTAATTATATGGATGAAGCAATAGATATGTGAGTTTATTATTCAGTTTAGTCATATATCAATTAATCTATCAAATTAATATTAATCAAATCTATATCAATTAATAATAATTCTTAGATTATTATGTTTCTTATGGTTAGCCTCAGGTAAATAACTATTAAATTTATCAAATCTATTATTTAACCTATTAGATTTATTAAAATCTATTAAATTTATTATCAAATTTATTAAATTTATAAATTAATATAATTAAATTTAGGCATCACCAATCTCTATCCTACTCTTGCGGATAGTAAAGTAAATCCATTCTCTTGTGATCAATATCAAGGTGAATTTCAAAGCTGGTGTGAATATTCTCATATTTCTAGATATTCAGGTTGGTCCTTGGCCATTTTACATTTCCTTATGGCAGTTATTACTCCTTTAATGTTAGAAAAAAGTGGAAATTTCGATGATCATGTGAATTACATTGATCATACAGTTAATAATAATAATAATAATAATAATAATAATCAAAATAAGCTAAGTGATATCAATCTTGAATCAAAGCAAGATCATGCGAGATATTCATCAATCCAACCACCACCACATCAACCACAACAACAAATTTCAAATGATGATTTAAGATCACGTACACCATCACCATTTCATCATCAAAATTCACGACAGAATTCACAACAATATAATCTTTCACCTCAACAATATTTAAATGCTTCACCTCAACAATATTCATCACAAATTCCACCTCAACAATATTCATCACGAATTCCATCTCAACAATATTCATCACAAATTCCACCTCAACAAAATTCATCACAAATTCCACCTCAACAAAATTCATCACAAATTCCATCTCAACAATATTCATCACAAATTCCACCTCAACAAAATTCATCACAAATTCCACCTCAACAAAATTCATCACAAATTCCATCTCAACAATATTCATCACAAATTCCACCTCAACAAAATTCATCACAAATTCCACCTCAACAAAATTCAT